CACACACACACACACACACACATATATATAGGCATTAATTCCATCATGGGTGATCCACACTAATGACCTCATCCAAATCTCTCAAAGGCTCTACTTCCAAATACCATCACATTGGCAGTTAGGACTATAACATAGGAATTTTTGGTGGTGCACATTCAGTTCATAGCAGCTTAAAAGAGGAGAATTGTGGATACATTTTTGAGAAATGTGGAGAATTGGAAACCAACATGGAAGAAGATAGGATGTGTTTAAAGTGTGAATGAAGAAGAAAAGAATTGCCTCCAAAAAACAAAAGTTGTAATTATAAAGAAAGTTATACAAAAAAGAGGAGAGACTGATGAAGAACAACAACAGACTGCTGAATTTAAATTATCTGCTCTAAAATAGAATTGGGATTACCTCATTGATTTTGTTGATGCTACAACCGAATTTGAAAGGTTTCATCTCATGCTGAAGGAGATGAAATAAGCAGTAATCAAAAAACAGTTCCAGAGTAGATTCAATTCTAAAATTGGTAGCTTTTGAAACCCGGGTCTCATAATATTAAAGAGTCTTTAAACATGACTTTTACTTCTGGTTCTAGTAATTAGATTTTTAAAACAACTATAGTGTGATATAACTCACAAATGTTTAATAATACAATTCACCCATTTAAAGTGTAGTAAAAGTCAGTGGTGTTTAGCATATTCAAAGAGATGTACAACCAACATGGCAATCAATTATAGAATATTTACATCATCTCAAAAGGAAACATTGAACCCTGTGTCTGTAACATCACATTTCCTGCCATCCCCCACCTCTCAACCACCATCAACCCTGGGCAACTGCTGATCTACCTTTTGTCTCTATACACTTGCTTATTCTGGACATTTCATAGAAATGAAATCACACAGTATGTAATCTTTTGTGCCTCCTTTCTTACATTAAGCATAATGTTTTCAAGCTTCATCCATGTTGTAGCATGTGTCAGTACTTCATTCTTTTTTATTGCTGAACAATATTCCATTGTATGAATATGCCACATTTTATTTATCCATTCATCCATTAATTGATATTTGGATTGTTTCTACTTTTTGGCTATTATGAATAATGTTGCTATGGACATTCACATATAAATTTTGTGTGGACATATGTTTTTATTTCTTTTGTGTATATACCTAGTGTTGTAATTGCTGGATCTTATGTTAACTCTATGTTTAACTGTTTGAGGAACTGCCAGAGTATTTTCCAAAGTGGCTACACCATTTTACATTCCCACCAGCAGTGTATGAGGTTTCTAATTTCTTCACATCCTTGCTGACATTTGTTATTGTCTGCCTTTTTTTATCATATCCATCCTAGTGGGTGTAAGGTGATATCTTATTGTGCTTTAATTTGCATTTCACTTATAACTAATAATATTGAGCATATTTTCATGTGCTTATTAGCCATTTCTATATATTCTTTGGGTAAATTTCTATTCAGAACTTTTGTCCATTTTTAATTGAGTTATTTATCTTTTATTATTGAGTTGTAATAGTTGTTTATATCTAAATACAAGTTG